GAGAGATTTGAATTGTACGCTAATTTTAGATAATTTAGATTAGACTAATAAGAAGAATATTTTATATTTATAACTTTATCACTTCTGAATTTTAATATCATTCTTTAATTATTTTTGATTAAATTTCTTTCCTTTTTTTATATTTCGTTAATTATAAGTGTCTTGTTAAATCTTTTTCTTTATTTTTATTTATTTATTTTTTTATATTAAATATAGTTAGGTGTTGTGAAAAATCGGCATTTTATTTTTGAATCTCACCTTTTCTATAAAATATTAAACTATCTAAAAGAACACTGTGATAACCGGTCGAGTGGTTTAATCTAAAGAATAAGTCCAAGACCGAAGCGGGAGATCTACAAGGGGATCAATGAAGTCTTCGACAGGTTCTTGTTGTTGATGAAATGCTGACGGATGTTGACGTAATAAGGTAAGTGGCAATAGAGTTTGTAGTAACTGAATTTAGAAAGAGCCCTTACCATAAAAGTGCGATGCCTTAATTTCGATTTTTAGCTGGTTATATTTTGTTTTTATATGTAAACGATAAACTATATTTACGCTCTGAAAAGTCGGTGTTCTCATTATCCAAGTTCTGCCTACCGCTCAATAAATTATTTTAATTATAATTATATAAAGGCCACACTACCATGTTAACGGACAAATCTGGAAAGTTTTGTCACATCATTGACATAAATTAAACACGTTGACTAAATAGTTATTAGACTGAAATCATAAATAAGTTTTAAATTAATAATAATAAGTTTTGTCATCATTTTTTTGCAGATAAATTTATGATTAATTTAAAAAAATAAAAATTTCCAAAATTTATTTTTTCAGTCAAATAACTATCTACTGAACGTGTTTATTTTTTGTCAATAATGACATGTATTGACTATAAAAAAAAACAAACAAACTTTATTTGTGGCTAATACAACTCTCTCGCCATAATATCTGGCAAATTGTCTCTGGGCACCGAATATTAACTGTAAACTATGGTCTGAGTCAACACTTAATTTCCCCTTTGAGATTTCCTCCACTTACTTTTAAAAAACACGAAACACGCGTAGTAACACAGTCCAAAATGTAAAATATTTATCATTTCTATTTGACATAATTTGATACAAAATTATAACCTACAATTTGGCAAGAGTTGGACAAATTTTAAGTCGAGTTCATACGCATCGGCGTCCGTTTGTCGTTCATCGTTCCGTTAAACCAATAATATTGAAATATGATCTGTCATTTTTGAAATATACCAATAAAACTGGTTAAAAACCATAAGAAATGACGCATGACGGATTGATATACAGACCGGTCCACCGTAGTAGTAACATAGGCAGAACCGGACGAATTAGCGTATACCCGTCCGCCGGATAAAAAGCAGGCGAAAAAATGCGATAAAATAAAAATAGGTAGACATGTGATAAGAATGTTTCAGAATTTGTATTTATTCGTGTTTTAATAGCCAAAACGAATACATAGATTCTTGCGACAGTTCTCGTGTAAAATTTATTTTTTAAGTAAAATAATGGATGTTTACGAAGTTCGTGAAAAAATTCAAATTGTAAAATGGTATTTCCATACCATTTTACAATTTCCATTTCATAGGTTTTATCGGGATATACAAACAATTTTTCCACAAACTTTTGTAAATAGGCCAATTCCATCTTTACCTACTATATCAAGTTATTAATAATTTTGAAACACATGGGTGCGTGTCCCCACAAAAACACAAAAAGCCTGATGAATATTTGAACAATACTTTTCCCAACCGTTTAATTAGTGGATATGGAACTATTTTGTGGCCCGCTAGATCACCAGATCTTTCTCCCAATGATTTCTTTTTGTCGGGTTATGTAAAATCCAAAGTGTATGGTCATTATAGGGCTAATAATCTGGATGAGCTTCAAGTAAAAATACGAGAGGCTTTCCAAACTATTAGCCCTAATATGTTAGCCAATGTCAGACGGGGATTTTACGACTGCCTAGGATTCTGTCTAGCACAAGAAGGTGGTCTTTTTGAACACTTGTTATAACTTTTTTTTATTTAGAGTAATATTTTAGTTTTTTTTTATTTTATTGATGTATTTGTTAATTTTGGAAATGAGCTTTGTGTTTAGAGAATTTATTTATTTTTAGTTTTGTCTTGTAAGCACACTCAAATAATAAATATTTAAGTACTTTTATTTTAAATGTTACCTTAAATGAAGGTAAACACTTCTTGGAAGGCACTCCTCGCGTCGTATTCCTAGTTTGTCACTACCGACCCATCCAATCACAACTGCAACTGCGTACATACTGCGTACTGCCTGACTAGCCGACTAGAGAAGTATCTAGCCCTAGCAGTCAACTTTTAAGCTTGACCAATCAGGTTGGTTAGCGTGGTTATTTAAAGTGTGTTAATTCATTTGTGTTTGTCAAAAACTCTAACGTGATTGGTCGGGCCTAATAGTTGCCTGCTGGGGCTAGACACAAGTGCCGACTAGTCGGCGCAGTGAATCTCGACTAAGAACGCACGTAAATTCGTCCGGCAACTTGCTATGTTACTACTAGCCTGGTCTTCTCTGTATAAACCCATCCATAGTTAACTTAAAAAATATTAGAAACTTTTTTTTAGTTAAATAAATGGATTGGTATGGACGTCATCTGCTTTTTTTTTCTGTCATCGTCTGTCGAAATCTTACCTGAGAAAAAAAAACCAGAGTATATCTAACCTTATTAACTCTATTGATTAAATTAACAATTATTCTAAAGGACTAAATTATTATAAAAGTAATTTTCACCGTACTAAATTGTGTATATTTAGTTAACTGTGTTGCCAACCCTGGTTTTTGCTGTTTCCAAAGAAACAAGCTCTATACGCTACCGAATTACGTAATGTAACCATTTCCGTATTATGTAAAGTTTGTTAATTTGACTAAAAGGCAAATGTGATCAATCTGGGGGAAGCCAGACCGAAACATAAATTAATAAGTTTCGTCTTTGGAAAGTTTCTGAACAGAGAGTGAAAAAAATCCTACCTAGTAAAGCTTGAAACAGTCGTGATTTGAATATTCTGATCACCCTCTCGATAGCCTGCCTCAGCGTCTGATCCTGAGGCCGTATCAACTTGGAATGGTAATCCTCCAGGAGTTCCAAGGCACGATGGGCTTCTGAAAATAGAAAAAAATATGTAAAACTTGGAAAATATGTAGGTAAGTTAATTTAAGTATTACTTTTATTGGTTTTGAATCAATTATAAGGTAAGAAATATCTGTTAATTTAGTATTTGGAAGTTTTTCCAAATAGAAAGGTCACGAAAATTTTTCTGCGGAAATGCATAATTTTCAGTTTTTTAACTTTAGAATAGCTGAAATAAGTTACATGAAAATACGTTTCTGTTTTTCATTCTAGACATTTTTCGAACACTAGATATTTCTGCAAAAAACTTCTTGCGAAAGTGTACCATTTTTTTGGGTGCAACAACATTCAATAACTCAACTTTCCCGGATATTCAACTCTCCCGAAACAACATTTTATAACTTCATAGTTTTTCACACCGATTTGATCAAAAGCAAAAATGGATTCATGCAGTTCGACGAAACAAGTGAGTAAACAAAGTGGTCCTTACATAATCAAAAAATTAAATAGACATATACTATGAGAGGATAAAATATAATTTGCAATATTAATGGTATACTTTTTTATGTCAACTAGCGATTAAATGTTTTATGAACATCTTCTAAAATTATAATTATGTACCATTGCTATCAACAAAAAAGTAGTACAAGAATTAGTAATCCCAGATAGAACTCCGGGTCTATAAAGATATGGAGAAGTTGATATCGCCGTCACTATGAAAACAATATCCTAATAGTTTTTATCCCTAATGCATCTGCAATGTTCCCCTTATGGGAACCCCATCCCTTAATCGCGTAAATATAATCGATTTTTGCTCTGAAGTTAGGGGCATTTTTTAAAAACTACGTGACACTGACACAAGAATTCTGATGACACTGAATTATCAGTTTGAAAGAAAATATTTTATTATAGACCAGCAGATTATAATAAATCATATTTTGTTGCGCTACTTTTTTTTTGATCGCCAATGGTACCTTTAAAAAATTTCGCTATAGCCGAAATAGCCCTAATTTGGCCCACTAGCAAAACCGGTGATAAAACTATGCTCGCTACCGGAGTTGAACTCATCTAAAAAGTTTTAACTTGGATAATAAGTTATAATAGAAGTTAGACCCTTCTGGAGATATCAAAATATCTACTTTTTATTTTATTTTTTAGAATGAGGAAGATGCATATATTTTATTTTTCGCCAGAAACTGTTCAATTTATTAGAATAAATATGTGTAAATGCAAAAAAAAAATTTTTTCTTGAAAGCAGTACCACAATTTTATAAAACGGGCCATTAAAATAGTATGGATAACGCAAACGACGCCTCGCGAATTGAAACGATATTCTATTGGTCTGACGTCACCCGCCGTTCTCGTCGACGCGCGATGGTCAGCAGCAGCCAGACGTGTTCAGTTTATGTACGTATTTAGGTGGCGTACTAAGACATTTTTGTTGCTTTTAGCGTTGATTGAAGGAGCTTTTTATGCTTTTTTGTGCAGTTATTATTTGTATGTGTTGTGTGTTCTGAGCATAGACTTAGAATAAAATATAGACTACACTATTTACATTTAAGCGCGGTCAAATATTAATTTTTGTAAACATGTTTACTCCTGGGTGCAGCTGACCTCGGCCGTCTGAGTCTTTCGCCTCCAGCCTATGTTGTCACGTCTAAAATATTATTAATATTTTTTTTGTTGTTATACACATATATTGAGATATTAAAACTGTATTTTAATAAAGTAGTGTTTAATAGTAGAAAGATGTATTAAATAGTCCCTATACTACTAAATTATAAGTCGGAGACTATTTAAAAATGACAAATTCTTTACAATTTGGCAACACCCATCAATCGCCGGGTCGCCCTGTTCATTCTTTATTCTCTCGTAGTAGAGCCATAGTAGAGTAAAGCACTTGTCGTAAAACCTTGTTGTCACAGTTTCTCCATGGCTATTTTATTGTTTTTATTGGATGTTTTGATTTTGTATTTTTTTGGATTCGATTTTCTTAGTGTGTAGTGTCGGTTTAATGTTTATTTTGATTACTTTTTATTTAAAAACTATAAAACATGGTTCGTCAGTGCCAAATTTGTAAGAAATTGGACTATTTAAGTCCTGGAACAACATTCCACAGGTAAGTCAAATTTACTATTTTAACGTCAGTGGCGTTGTAGAAAGGCGCTTATTTAGATAATAATTTAGTAAATTATAAACCCTGGAAAATCTGTATTTTTTATATTTATCATTTACGTAAAGGTTCTTACTAACCTCGTTATTAATATAACGAGTAGATACATTATTAAGTACATAAGAAGTAGACACATTATTTTCTTGGGCATTGGTTAATTTAATGCTTTTTTTTATGAAAAATGTGTTTCTTTTTATTCTAAAACCATCCTTAGAATCTAAAATAACATACAGGAATTCCAGAATGATATTCCATTATGAAACAACAATTTTTAAGGCTTATTATAAACTATAAACAATCGAGAAAGTCGAAAAAATTACAAGCTACCAAACATTTTAAAATACCAAACATTCCTTATTTTTTTTCAAGACTAAAATATTTTACAAACATTACTTTTTCCCTATAGTTTCACATCAGGTATAGAAATAACTACGTTTTTATGATAGGGTCACCATTATGATAACAAAAATGACGAACAATGGTCCAGAAATGTAAACAAGTACATATTTTTTGTAAATATTTTTCTTACCGCTTGCATTTTTGTCCATTATTATTTCACAAATTATACAGGGTTATGTAAACCAGGTAGATATTTCGTTTTTTTTATATTAAACAAAGATAAAATAAATATGCCATTTTAAAATTTATCCAGTACTTACCTAGAGTTTTTTCTTTTTTTTTCTCGACTGTTAATCTATTATTAATTTGTAATACCGTATGATCGAAAAAAACGGCGTCCAGTTGGCTTGGAAAAAACCATCGATACATACTCCATATAATTTTACATATAAAATGACAGCGATCTTCATTTCATAGCCATCGCTGACGCCGTTTTTTTTCGATTATAAGGTATAATTTTCATTTTTTCTTTTATAATGTAATATCACTTAAGTAATATCACATATAATCTGAAGATAGTTTTAGAATTAACCAAAACGTAAATCTTTAATAAAACAATCTGTTATTATTTGCCATATATGTATGTATCCAAGAAAATAATTTACATATTATTATTATATGTTTTACTGTTTTTTATCTTTATTTGAAACTCAGAAATGTTGCATTGGCTTTCTAAAAAAATGAACTTGTAAGTTTTTAAAATGCTTCGTTTCGGAGATACAGGGTGTAGAAGTTTCATTTTTATTTCGATTTTTTTCCAAATAATTTCTGAAGTGACGTCAATATTTGGACGAAAATTGGCGTTTGGGAGTTTTTTGACATGAAAAATTAGATTTAGATGTCAATTTGACTTTTACTAATAGGGGGCGCCACCTACATATTTTTTAAGTTATTTGAAGAGTAATACTTTTTGTCTGTATCTATATAAAACTACTGAGAAAAATTTACATTTCCAACGTTTTTTACTTAATAAGGTCTCTTGTTGACACTCGCCACAAGTATAGTTCTCAAGATATTTGGAAACGAATTAATCAATACATTCTTCATAAATTATTTGGAAAAAAGCGAAATAAAAATGAAATTTCTACACTCTGTATCTCTGAAACGAAGCATTTTAGGACATAAATTTATACTATTTTTTTTACTGATTTTATTTGCAGATTATGCTGCCAAAGTTTCCTGAATACAATTCCGACCACTCTGTATATCAAGATATCCCCCATTACGTACTAGTTTTTCTTAATAATTTTCTATACATTTTCCAACGCCAAGATGTACCAAGCGCATACAAATACATCAAGCTTCAAACAAGCTTGCACGTTGACAGTAATACCTACAGTAATATTGTATTATATTAATGTAATATTTTTGAACCAATGTTCAATATTACTGTAGTAATACTGTTTATACTCATGCCTTTTATATTTGTTTGAATTTGGTGCATATTTCCATTGAATAAAGTATAGTCACCATTACCATTATTATACTTACTCTATAATAAAGACAGTAACGAGTTAAATAAATGTAGTTTTCATTTTATTCACTTCCTAAAAGCTTGCTTTAATGGAACAGATTCCTGTTTTTTCTAATTTACATAATAAGACATCACTTTTACCGGAAAAAAAAATTAAACAATTATAAAGTTTTTTCTCTTTCTGTTCTATTATATCTATAGAATAGATCCTGTTTTGATTAATATTAGAGTTGTAAATGTTTGACTAAAATTAATATTTTATTAAATTAATAATTTATCATCAATTTCAAAAATTAAATAATTTCGATTATTAAAATTTCTTCTATAACACGTACTTTATTATTTTTATCGTTTTTAGACTCTAAGACGTTTTTTTCTAAGTCCTAAACTTTGCTTTATATTAAACTATTTTCTTTATCCTAAATCTTAATAATATAAAAAGTTTAAATACGATATATTTTAATTGAATTATAGCTTCATTAAAATAAAAAAATACCCGCCTATGATACGGAGAGTGCAGGTGCACTGAAGAAACAAAAAGACAGTGTTGCGTTGGGCGGCAGAGCCGTCAGGAAGCGACCGTTACGACGGAGACAGCCTATCTATCGCTCGTGTCGCACTCGTTAGAGCCAAAAACAATAACACAACAATAACAAGACGTTGTCTGTCCGCATCTTCCAGCTATTTATGAATGAGATGCTCAGTCTATATTTTATTCTAAGTCTATGGTTCTGAGAATTTTTTAAGTAATGGCAGATTCCGGGTTTGTAAAAGCACAATCAGATAACTTGCCAAAAGTCGATGCTTTTATGTTGGCTGCTTTTATAAATACAAATTCCCAATTTATTGGTGCTGAATTACGAGGAAAAAAACAGAGAGGTATGTAACATTTATTCTTTGTAGTACTGAGGCATATTTAAGTATAAGTAGATACCTACTGTTACGAACGTTTTATATAGTTATAAATATTAATGTTATAAACATATTTTTCAGATAAGGTAGGGAGACGTATGGAGATAATGCTGTAGGTTATGTAGAAGTGAAAAGAGACAAAAATATTTGTTTAGTACGTGGAAAAATAACTCCAGAGCATAGCGTGAAACAGAAGGTTTTTTATATATATTGACACCCCCTTGTTATTTTTAAAGATTGTTTTTTTTACGAAATTATATGAAATAAATTGTTTATCAGTAATGAAAATATTATACAAGGTGTCCCATACGCAAACGCCAAAACTAAGTTACTTTTTTAAGTGAAACACCCTATATATTTTTGGATTCTTCTGAAATTTCTAGATATTCTAGATATATTTCATGTATAATATCCTATACCTATCTTCAAATGTTTACGAAATATTGGCAAAAATACCTACAATTTTCTGGACCACCTTTTTTTGAGACACCCTGTATAACTAGAATTAATTTTAAAAGAGAGTATATAAAAAACCATGCAACTTTTTATTTAATGTTTTCTTCTAAAACTTGCAGTTAAGGCTGTATGTGGGTGTCAAAATATAATGAATAACCCTGTATATTCAAATTTCATATACCTACGTAAGACAATATACATAAATATATGAACTTCAAAAGATCTTCAAAGAACATCAAAATGATCTTCACAACAATAAATCGTAAAAATAGAGGATAATTTAACGTTTTTCTTTTCATCTCTTCTCATGGCTTTGGACCATTTTTTTCTGTTTTCGCTCATCCATTACTATTTATAAATATCACTAATTACTAATTATGTATTAATTAACACAAATAACTAAAATTTTGAGTCGGATTCAACAGCGGTTAAAAGCAAACTGTGTAAAATAAACACGCGTCTGGCTCCACTCAACCAGAAGAACGGCGGGTGACGTCACAGCGGCAAGGCGCGGTAGAGAGCGTTTGCCCGGCCATTTAAATTAACAATATTTAATTATTTTATATTAGATGCATTTCTTAACCGATATCAACGATTTTTTTTTGTTCAATTTGTAATTATATGAACTATTTTTTAAAACCATTATTTAAAAACATGCATTTTCCTCATTTTCACAAATTATCATTGATATATCATTTCGAAAAATATCGTTGTGTGTATACAGGGTATACTATATGGGTATTTCGCCACTGCACTGCAAGATAATCTACAAAATAAAATAGTTATTTTTTGTTCAAACACTTCTGCGTTAAACCCAAACGGAAACTACCGTATGATCGAAAAAAAACGGCGTCAGCGATGGCTATGAAATGAAGATCGCTGTCATTTTATATGTAAAATTATATGCGGAAATGTCATCGATCTTCATTTCCCAGCCAACTGGACGCCGTTTTTTCTCGATCATACGGTACTTGTCAGAAGTTATGTTTACAGTTATACAAATTTGCCTAACAAAGAAAAAAATGCTTAACGTTTCGTAAATTTATCTCTTTCCGTCGTCGGAAGCAAAAAAAACAAAGAATCAAGAAAAAAAATATTTAAAATATTTAAATTCAACTATACGAGAACACTTTAGTTTTTTAAAACAGATACGTCTACAAGAAAACCGTTGACATTCTGTTAAAATGACATTATATCAAGTTAAACTTCAAAATTAACAATTACTACCTGATAACAGTTACTTAATAAGGTAAAACTAAAAAACCCCAAACTTTTTCTATGATTATTTTTAAATTTTACGTATGTTATGTTTACTTATGTTATGTTCTTTAAAATCAAAGAAGCGATTGCCATACATTACTAACATCTACAGATGCATGAGCAATATATATATATATAATAGTAATAATTATATACTCCAATAAATTTTGTATTTTATAGGTGCATTAATTTTAGCCGTTATAAAATTTCAATCTCTTTATAAAGTCGTGGCAAACGACAAGAAAAACTTGAGCAAACAAAATGTTACACCAGTCGCGCTGTGCACCGCAGCTTAGGGTTTTTTTCTAAAACCATTACGAAATGAAGTTTATCGATTTCTTCCACTAAAAGTTAAGCTTTTTAGTTTGAAGTTTAGACGAGAACCCCGAGAAAAGAAGATGAAATGATTCCTCACAAAGAGAAGTTTATTATTTACAATAATAAAAATACATCAAAAGGATGACCTTCTTCTGGATGCTTCGTTTATGAAATAAAGGATTTTTTTCAGCAATCTGAGAGTTGAATTCCGTTAGTAAAAATGGAAGGAAACAACTAACTTAAATATAAAGATTATATTCGAAAAGGAACTTTAATTCTTTTTCTGAGGATGTAGAAAAAATTACTGCAAACTCATTTAATATTACAGCTTACTATACACTAAGTTTCCTCTCTTATATTATACTTTTTATCTTAAGTCTCGTCTAGGCATAACGTTTTACCTGACAGTTGAAAGGTTCAGGTAAGACGGATTAGAGACTAGTGTGTACAGTGTATACCGTGCTGGCAACTGTTACTTTTGGGTCGGCATTTACATGTGTGGAAGTAAATCGCTTAGGGATCTTATTAAGTCGGAGTGAGAGAAATGCGATGATGCGCTGATGCGGCGTTGCCGGTACGTCTTTCCCTATCAAGTAAAGTAAAATCACGATCGCAAACCGCTTATTTTTAAATCTTTTTTATATAGATAACTAGATAAAATCATTAGATATGTTTCTGAGCATCTGAAATGGAATTATAAGGATATCGTTAGAGTGTCTATTTTTTATAACGATAAAACGTCAGTAATCGCGATAAGCTAAAAACTCAACTTTTTAACACATAACACGCCATAACTTAAGAACCGTTTTAGACATTGAAGCTTTTTTTATTTTGAAGATCGGATCTTTTACAATATGTTTAAATAAGAAAAAATCGATAAGGTTGTTTTTTTCCATTCAAAAATTTAAACAACCCATTCATTTAATTTTAGTGCACAGCAGTTTTCAGCAATCGTATAACTTTTTTATTTATAAAGATTTTCTCATACTGTCTGCGAAGAATATTAGTAGAAATGTTAAGAAAGTTTTTGAAAAAACTACAATCAATTATTTTTAATAGATTTCGAGATATCGATTTTTGAATTCAGAGTTCTAATAGCGCGACCACTGTCGAACACCAACTCAATTCCACTCATTTTTACCAAAAATGCAAGTGTTTCTAACTTGAACTTAAAATTGTTCAAGCTATAGGGAAAATTATAACGACTCGTTAATAAAGCATCGCGAGACGTAATTAAATCGTGAAGCTGAACGCATGATGTACACATTTCACTAGAACTTTAAGTACTGACAGAGGTACTGATTGGGTCGTCCGATCGACTGCGACAAAATCTATTACATCCCCTTCCACTTAGCAATGTGCACAGTTTCTCGGTTTTTTTCATTCATTTGGCAACGAGTTTACTGTTCTCTCTTTGTTCAGTACATTATAAACGCATTGTACTCTTCTTATAAACGGAAATCTCGACCCAAAACTAACCTTTGCCAGCCCTTAGTATGTTGTAAATTATTATAGATTATATGAGAAGGGGAAAAAAGTTAAACACCACGCTTTGTAGATCTGTTGTGTCGCCCTTTTTTGATTTATAACGAATTATTATTTTTTTGGTGTAAAACATGGCGACTCACTGAAAGGAATAAAAGAAAATTAGAAACAACAGAAATGGGACGATTAGAAAGAGCAATGAGAATTTCACGGAACGATAAAATCAGGAATGAATACATTAGACGGCAGATTGGAATAGAGGCAACAATAGTGGATGATATAGAACAAAAACAATTAATATGGTACAGCCACGTTCAGAGAATGCACAAAACAAGTATTTCATTGGATACCACCTGGTGAACGAAAGAGAGGACGTCCCAAGAAAACATGAATGGAAGGAATAAGAAGATCGATAATCGAGAAAAATCTGACCGAAGATCAATGGGAAAATCGCACAGGGTGGAAGTTAGCATCGCACAACGTGGTCGTAGGACGTTCTGACCCGATAACCCATCATACAGTCTCAGGGCTTTGACAAAAGCGAGTATATGAGAGGTTTTACAGAGGTTAGTTCTTCATCTCCCATATCTGTCGTGCCCAGGTTTATGGCGCAC